CACACACACACACACACACACACACACACACACACACACACACACACACACACACACACAACACGCCCACATAATTGCTCCCCCCAGTGCTAAGAGCGGCCGCGCCCCCTTCCCTGCTCGGGTTCGCCGCCCGTTCCCGCGACGGCAACTTCACTGCCTCGGTTTTGCCGTGATTTACGAGAGGATAATGCGGCTGTCAGGTTGCACCGCAGGCAGGGGAGATAAATTTCGCTTGACTTATGGTGTTGATCCCTCTTTTTTCGTGTAACCATATGATGGCGCGGAAAGAGGAGGCGCCGGGAACGCTTTTGGGGCCCGCGGCCATTTTCGTGGCTGCGGAAGATCAAGTATGTATATATATATATATATATATATATATATATATATATATATATATATATATATATATATATATGTGTGTGTGTGTGTGTGTGTGTGTGTGTGTGTGTGTGTGTGTGTGTTCACCTATTTTTACATTTAATTATTCATGTATTTTTCATTTGATTGTGTTTAGATGTAATGGCTCTTGACCTTTTTTTTCAAAAAATTCCCACAAATATTTTAATATCCCCCCCCCAACACACAACACACACACACACACACACACACACACACACACACACACACACACACACACACACACAACACACACACACACACACACACACACACACACACACACACACGCGATAGATAAAGATAATAAGAGCAATAATAAAAAAGGGAGAGTAAAATCCCCGCAAAAAGCAGAACCATACTCACTCGGGCTCCCCTTCCAGATGACTACACGCGAGTGGTGGTGAGCAGTTTCCCGGGGGTTCCAGGCAGCGACTACATCAATGGGAACTACATCCGAGGGGCCAGCGGGTCCAGGGCATATATTGCCTCCCAGGTAATTTTTTTTTATCTGTTTCCATCTTGGTGTACAGGAGGGGTGCCAAGCTTATATATCTTCGAGGGCCAGGTTTCATTTCACTTACCATATTCAGGGCCAATAAAGGTACAAGCCAAGGTACTGTACATATCTGGCATCCTAGGATTGGGTTATTGTAATCTGCCTGATATTGGGGCATCTTTACATAAAGTTTACTGTACTTATTAAATGATATTATTGCCATCATGAAAGTAAGTTATTTAAATTTTTCAAGCTCTTAATCATATATAACTTACCTTCATGACAACATAATTCATCAGGCTAATAATAATTGATCTTGTCATCCACAAGCTATTTATGACCATCCTGAGGGCCACATTTAGGTCACTGGCCACACCCGGTATGCAGTATTAGATGCACTCTTCAAAGGACGTTTTAATACATTTAGAAAAGCAGGCATATGCACTCCCACACCCACATGCACGTGCAGCCACAGAAAGGCACCCCTATATCCACATGTTATGATTAAAAAAAGCAACATTTTAAGTAACCTTTCTACTTGCCAAACACAGGGCCCGCTGCCCCACACCACGGCCGACTTCTGGAGGATGGTGGTGGAGTGTGAGGTCCAGGTCATCATTATGGCCTCCAACGAGACGGAGGGTGGAAAGGTAGGTGCTGTAACTTAATTTTTTTTCAGTGTTTCATATAAGTTGATTAGACAGCTTTACATTTTTTTATTTTCAGTGTTTCATATAAGCTGATTAGACAACTATGCAATTCTTTAATGGAATGATGACAAAGGTATAGATATATGTGTGTTGGATAGCCTTGAAATAATAAGCTGAAGTGATGTCATAATATCGGTTTTATTATTTTACCTCCCATTATGTTAGAAGTAAAAATAAAAAAATTAGTCAAGGTATTTCTTTATCAATATACTCTCATGTTGCCCTTCTTATTCCAGCACAAGTGTGAATGTTATTGGGTAAACACTACAAATGAGGAGAGGCAGTTTGGGAATGTCACGGTTTCCTTTGTGAAGGCCAGGCAAGTGTGTCCAGACTTCATGGTTCGAACACTCAAGATCAAATACCCCACAGACTCCGGCAAGACAGGTGATATACGTTTCTAGAGCTGTTTTTGTACTGCTTTTATCCATATTTTCAACCATGTATACTGTGACATTTTGTCTTCAATATTAGTGGAAGTAAGGATTTTGGTAGTAGAATAATTTTTTTTATCAGCAATTTAAACACAAGTAATGCTTAATCATCCTTGCCCAAATAAAGAAAACATTAAATAGACTTTTTTGATAGCATGTAACTAATCACTTTCGCTTTCCACCAGAAGAACGAACAATCTGTCAGTTCCACTATGTACTCTGGCCTGATCATGGAGTTCCAGAGACTGTCCGACCACTGCTGGACATGGTGCGGTTGGTGAGAGACTGTCAAGCTTCGGAGACATTGCCTGTTCTTGTTCATTGTTCAGCTGGCTGTGGCAGAACAGGAACAATTTGTGCAATTGACTATGTGTGGGGTCTTCTGAGAGCTGGGGTAAATATTGTACTGTTACAGAAAAGGTATAATTGAGAATGAATAATTTTACAAAGCAAGAGCTGTGGTTGACACCTTTTGATAGACATTTTGCTGTATGGAGTAATTTATTCTCATTATAACTTTTCAATCTGTGTCACTATTACAACAATGAAAGTTATGGATATGGGTAGGCAGTGTTGATTATATAATTTTACTGTTCATTAGTATGCGAATGCAGACTTGTCAGCAAGTATATGTATATTCAATATTATCCTTATTAGGTCTCAGCATACTTTACAATTATATCTAGAAGGAATAACTATCAAGTTTTAATGAGTTTGATATTAACCTTGAATTTGTTACTCATTACTGACTGTTATTTCAATGCATTTTACAGCGTTTGACAGAAAATCTGAACCTCTTCGGCCTTGTAAAGGAGATGCGTAGACAGCGTGTTGCTATGGTGCAAACAAGGGAACAGTACATTCTCTTGCACAGAGCAGTCCGAGAACTTTTCAAGGAAAGATTGAAGGTTATAGATGCTCACCCATATGAAAATATAGCAACTGATGGTACACCTCTAATTTTAAGAGAAAAGGAGAGTGACTATGAGGAACTCTATGTGAAACCTGAGAAGCAAGGTATTAACAATGATTTCTTTTTGTAAATTTCTGTTAGTTTAATATTAATTGATGATTACTACATGAACCTTTATAAAGATGATATTTCAGCTTAATATACCTTTGAGGATGGAAATTTTAAAAAATATGCTAATTTTCTTCTCCAGATGAAAGTGCCAAACCAACCCCACCAACAACAGCCCCAAGTGCCGTATCCACTCCAACTGGCTCTCTCACTCGGTATTCTAATACAAGAGGAAATAATGGTAAGCAAACAACAGCAACTGATTTAATGTGAATTAGATATATGTGGATGTAAAAATCCCTTCTTCTATGTTTGTAGTTCAAGACATATAAAATTAATTATCATCTCACTTTCCAAGTTGTATATACATGTACTGTATATAGTGCACATAAAGATTCTAAGATTTGAAATTCATTTCGTTGTTTTTAAATCTCTTTTCAGATTACCTGGCATCGAGTTCACCCATAAATAGCTTAGAGAGGCCGGTGGCTCCTGTTCCTCCACTCCCTCTGAAACTCTGCAAGCCTCCCCCAGTTACTTCATGCGTGTCACCGCACTCCTCACCTAGCCCCCACATTTCACCCATCCCGCAGCCATCCACCATCCAAAATCACTGTTCACCGGTCCCTCAACCATCCCCTGTATCACTTCCTACCGCTAACCAGGCTTATCGTAGCTACTCTGCTTCTCCATCTCTACCTGTGGTTACAAGCACTCTCCAGCCTGTAGTTACTGTCACAAGTTCCAGTTGCTCACCAGGAGGATCTCATCTGTTCTCACAGTTATCACCCAACCCTTTCCAAGTCACTCCATCCAATAGTAAGGCTGGGATTCACCCAACTTCAAAATTAGAAAAGGATGCAGAAAATGCGGCTCACAAACGGCAAGTTGCACAACCCTCTGGTTCCTCCCCTGCTGGTGGAGTTACACAGAGAACCATGCAAACTCCTAGTGTATCAGGAAGCCCACAGCCTTTATCCTCAGTTGCCACACCTTCAAATACACCAAACCATACCCCAACACCACTTCATAGCCTGAGTATGTCACAATCTGCACATCATTTGAATCCAGTCCCTCCAATTCGAAGTAGGACACCTTCTCCAGGGATGACATATGGAAGATCCTTAGAAGAAGGGAAGCACAGTGTAGTTGATAACACCCACATTAGTCAGGACACTAGCACTAAGAGCACTGAAATTGTAAGACGACCAAGCATAGCAGAGCTCAAGGAATTGTTTGAAAAAGCAGGAGATGCTGAAACTCCAGGAGTGAGACTGTCTCGCAGTGCAAGCAGTGTAACATCAAGAACTAGCCTGAGCATTCATCCAGATGCAGATGGAGGCTTTCGCATTAAGAGAAAGAGCAGTTTAGGGGCTGAAGAAACTTTGCAGTCAAAGAAAGCATATGAGATGTTAGAAAGATCACGCCATCTTAACATCTGCCCTCCTCCACCACATGAGTCTTCGAAAGCTGCAGCTGTATCAACAGCACCTGTGACTGTTGTAAGTGCTGCCAAACCACCTTCTAGTCCTGTGTACACCAGCCCCTTATCACGAAGGAGAGGAACCCACAACCTAAATGACTCCCAAGATGATAATTCTCATTCAGCTTTGTTGGCTCGAGTTGATGACAGACCTGCTTTACCTGTTAAAAAGAGCAAGTCATTTAGATATGCTCGGCCTGTAGACTCGTCCACAAATACCATAGCTTCTACAAGAAGTCCAGAACTAACAAGGAAGAAAGCAGATATCAACACCTATTTTAGCTTAGACAGAGGGAAAGGAGACAGCTTTTCACTCAATAAGTCAGAAAGTGGCAGTGTTAATTTCATAGGAGATATTCCATCACCAAGAGAAGGATTCAAACTATCAGTCTATCAGATGCCAAATACATCACAGGCATCAAAGCCTGGTGTAAGCAGTAATGAAACTAAAGATCAAACTATCCCTGAAATAAAATTGGACCAGAAGCCACAGATACCGCCCAAGAAAATCATTGGTGAACGCTTTCGTAATGCTCGTCCTCCAGATTCTCTGTATATCAGTGCACCTCAGCCATATACTCCAATCAATACGTTCCAAGGTACAGGTACCCCGCATACTCCACAGTCTGCACCGCCAGTCATCTCATCAACACAAAATGGTTCACCATTTTGGAATCGTAATCAAGTGGATAGGTCAATTTATGACTGTCCAAAAGAACTACAAGCAACTTTGGGACATAACAATGATAGTGTGCCATCTACTTCAGTGGCAACATCCATTACAAACAGCCAAAATCTGTATTCATCCCAAACAGCAGATAACAGAATGCACACAAGTATCACTGGCCACACATTAGCTACTCTTCCTAAACCATCTCCAAACACAGAGCTCTCTCAAGAGACTTCAGGTGCAAAGGAGTACGTTAATGCAAGGGTAGTAAGAAATCCCAACACGGACACAAAAGAACCATCAAGATATGTATATGTTCCTCTTCCAACCAAAAGAGGATCTCGAGATAATAAGGCACCACATGAATATGCAAACTGCACATTGAGTGCACAGTCGGATTCTGTGGAGGGGGAAGATCCTACAGAGATATATATGGACTCGCAAATTGTGAAGAAAGGAGCACCTGGTAAATTCCCTGTATATGATGAAGTAATTCCTACAGCACAGTCAAAGACTGAAAGTTCTATCAATAAGTCTACTTCTAAAGAAAACGTATCTCTCCCCATGTCTACTTCAGCATCACCAGGATCACTTGGCACTCCAGGCTCAGCCACTACCCCAGGATCTGCAGACTATGAGGTCATGGACTTTGGTGAAACAAGTACTAGTGTTGATGAGGTATTTGAAACTGTCAACTATGAACTGCTTGGTGCTAAAGACAGAAGAATACATAGAAACACGGAGAATAAACACTCAGCAGATAATGTAAAGGACTTTTGTTCTAAAAAGGATTTAGATCCGATTGCTCGGCAGGTATATCTAGATTGCCAGGATTACCTCCTCCATGGTACCAACAAATCTCCAGTGCCATCCCTGATGCCAAAACCTTCGGAGAAAGAGGCCAAGAAAGTAGCAAAACCAACAGACATGTCAAAAAGCCTTACTTCAGCTCTAGACACAAGCATGGATGTAGATGAGGTTAAAAGTAAAGTAAATGTGGCACCCCAAGGGCTGAGGACCAGAGAACGTCGAAACAGCTACAGGCAGGCAGTAAATCCTGTCACACATGGTGAACCCAAAACGCCAGAAGAAAAGATGAGTGGAAAGTCGGAACCGAACCGAAGCATCCACAAATATGAGACCATTTGGTTTGAGAATGGAAAGCACATAACAAGGAAAAATAACCCAAGTCCAAATAGCCAACAACAATTGCATCAACAGGTTTCTAAATCGGCAAGTGTCCCAGCAGAGAGAGAAGACCCACAACAGAGAGGCAGTTCAAGTGTTTATATGCAAGTTAAGACCCCATCTACGGAAGATCATGGATCTAATTTTAACCAGATGTCAAATAATAAAGATTCTCTTTTTAAAGAAAAATTGGAAGAGTTTCACACTCTCGTTAATAGCATTGAGTGGGAAAAGCCAGTGAGAAAGAGTGCTGCCTCTCCAAGGCTTTTGGATGATGATGCAAACTCTAAAGGATCTGGAAGTAATAACAGCACCTTACAGTCCCATTCTACATCATCATCATCCAGAGATAGTGAACATCAAGAGCCAATTTATGTCAATACTCCACCTCTCTTACCTGTCTCTAGAACTTTGTCATCCAGTAACAAAGGTCAGCTACCCCCAAAAGCTACCAGAAATTGTGATCCAATCGAGTCAAGATCACCACTACCTTTGCGCCATAGTCGCACTGAAGGTAAATTAGACAATACGGACTCCAGAACTGGGCAGCAGTCACCAGTTATTAATACAAATTCCTTATATGGTACCATAGCAACCTCAACTGTAAGGCCTAAACCACCTGGGAGTAATTCTTCTTCACCATCTTTTCCAAACTTTTCTCAAAATCAGGCAAAGCCACCATCACCCTATCATAGTTTAGTGTCTACGGCCACTCTTCCATCAAGAACAACAATATCTCCAACACCTTACCATAATATACCCCCACCTAAAGGATTTGGTAATGGAACGTCCCCTGGTAATTCTCCCAATCCACTCCATTCTCTACAGCAGAACAGAGAAAATCATGAACCTTTGTCATCTTCACCATATTACAACATGGCCATGTTTACAAGTGGCAAACCCAATCAAGGTTTTTCTCCTTATACATCGCCTCCACAAATTTCAAATGTGGTGCGTCAAAATTTCCCTCACGGCCAACCTTCCAAAGCCCACATCATAGGAGATATTGCCATAGTTGGTACGTATAATGTACTTCATATTCAGTTTTTTAGATATTAGCAATTGAAGTACTAATTCATTAGTAATTTTTTATTCTTATTACTGACTGTATATATTGTTATAGTGGTCTTACATAAAATTATATATTGGTTGTAATATTTTGCAGGAGAAGAATCTGTGCGACTCAGGCGGCCTGGGTTAGCGCCACACCCTAGAACAGATGTTGGAAGTGGGTGCAGTAGCAATGACTCGAGAGGTTCTGAAGGAGCACCTATTGCTCCTCCAAGAATAAAGAGGAATTCAACCGCTGGCTTACCCAGGCATAGTGCCATTGAGCCATCATCGCACATGCACAGCGATAGGCGTTGTGAGTACAATACTTTAACCAAAAGGAATCAACTGTAAACCTTTACTCACACATGTAGAAAGATAAATCACCCTTCCTTGTGCAACACATTTTGTTATTTGTAGTATGTGCTTAGGGAGGAAATGCTTTACTAGATTATATCCTTTCATTTAATTATCTAGCTTCCAGTAATGCAATACTAAACACTTTTTTAGTTCATTTCTCATAAATAGATTATTTATTGAGATTAAGTAACTATTGTGAAATGGTGGCCTTTTATTTTATTGTGTCATAATGCTATGAACCAACTATTATTATTGTTATTTTAATGATGATGATAGACTTTTATAATCACCATCATCATCATTACCACTACTACTACTACTGCCATCATTACTGTCAGTCATAATTATCACCATAATTATTATCATTGATCATCATCATAGATACTGTCATCATCATTACCGCTGCCATTAACCCCCCACCACCATTACCACCATCATCACCTATTACTACCATTCTAATGTTTCTTTTATGTAATTGTTTTATAAAATTTTATCTTCATTCATTAACACTAAAAATGAGAATCTTTATTTATTATATGGGAGTACTCAACATGTGCTGTATAATAAATCCATGAACAGTAGATGGACTAATGCATGAAAGAGGGAAGAACATTCTGTTATTTCCCGACAAAAGAGTGTTTTAATTTGAATTCATAGTAACACTAATCTTGTGATTACATAAGATAGGTCTTTTTCTTCGCAATTTGATTGATTAAAGCAGTAACTTGTACTAAGGACATTTTCCCTTTCCAGGCTCAACAGATGGTCCTGAAAACTACCGCCAAACCATGATAACAGCTAAACAGGTAGAATATTTTTATCAGGTTTCATAAAAAAAAGGGTTTAAATTTATGATTAGGGATTGACAGTAGAAAAAAAAATTGCATGATTATACTTATTACTTTTACTACAATAATTTAAGTGATATTTCAGATTCATTGTTATCTTCGGAAATGTTACCTTATGCTTATCTTTGTTTTTCTGACACAGGAAGCTGTCAGGATAAGCCTCGTCTGAAATATTTGATTTTATATATTTAGTGTGTGTGTGTTTTTGTGTAAATTGACTGTTACAAATAAAGTAAAAACAAAAATTTCACCATGCTGTCTCAGCAACAGCCAATGCTAAAGGCTTTCTCTTCACAGTAGTTTGTGTAGTGGATGAAAATACAGATTCTCTTGTTCTGTGCAGGAAGGACTGAAGTATCACTTCTTCTAGTCGTGGTTAAGATGTCTGGCTGGCGCTGGCTAGCATATCCAGCTTCATCATTACAACATGAGTACACCAACTCACTCGTGCCAGCCAGCCAGCTCTGTAGGATTACTGTTGTGTGTTGTGTGATGGCAAACTAATATCCCTCCATCAGTTTTGAACTTTAGTGTTTGTGATTCTGTGTATATATTCTTTAACTCCGAAAGTTCCTTCTTGTTTTATAAAAAATAATTTGTTTCTTATGTATGTCAAGAAATGAATTGGTCATTAACCCTCTAAGATTCTGATGACACCAGAGCATATCCACATACTTCTGCTCATTGTTTTTAGCCTTTCTTTTACTCCAGGTATCACATGAATGTGTTGTTAATCATCTTCCAAATGTGACTAGAACGAATATTCTTGGAAATAAGTTTCAAATAACCATTCAAAGTGAATTATCTCTAAGTGAACTGAGAATGCGTGATGCACACAGCACAGGAAAAATAAGTGAGTGGCCAAAAAAAAGAACTAAACACATTTTGTGATAAAGTCTGATCTGATTAATAATTGAATTGGTATATAGGAAAAGTAATAATTGATTATTAAAGCTGTGGCTTTATGGTAATGAAAGTATTTTATACTGACAAACGATAATTCTTTGATACTTCGATAATTCTTTGATACTTTGGCTCCCTTCCCTTTTCCTAAGTGTTTTATCTTGTGAGTCTGATTGGGCAAGTGGTGTGATATAGTGGCATCAGTCATTCATTTTAGAAATGGCATTTTTTATCTATGGAGACAACAGATGAAAAATGAAATTGTGAGAGCCAGTAATGAATAGAAGTTTAGATGATAGATTGCATCATTTGGCAGTTGAGGTGATTAGCGGATAATTTCTGAAGATATATAAGTGGATGTAACATCAAGTAATTTTTAGACATACTGACAAGACTTTTTCATTTATGTCCGCTTTTCTTTTACAGCTGTAAAAAGTAATGCTACTGCTATTTACGATTAGGAATTTCATAGAACAAAAGAAGTGGTCAGCTTGTATCTTGTAAATATGTATAGTTTCTTAAATGAGCTGTGGTGAGAAACACAAGTATGTTATAAGAATTGACTTAACCCATGGATAGATTGTTGTTTTATTCAGTGGATGGGATGTTATTTTGCTACAAAGACAGATAATTATCTTGAATTCAGCTTTTTATTACGGTGTTAGTTATGATGTTGGGTAAGATTATATATTATATACTTTTTTTTTTAAATGTATCAATGTTCTGATTGGTTGAAATTAGAATGCACGCCTAGAAGAAATATTTGTGCAATTGATTGATAGGTTAGAATACTATAGATGTTAGTAAGATGAAAGTCGCTTCTATAAATATAAGCATTATTCTTCAGAGAGAGGGATGGGAAGAGAGAGAGTGTATGAGGCTGTATCTGTGTTAACTTTTTTCATTTGCATTTGTGTACATGTTAATAAGATGAAAGACGCAGCTGTAAATATTAGCATTATTCTTCAGAGAAAGGGAGTGGGAGAGAGAGTGTATTTTTTTATTTGAATATGTGTACATGATGTAGAACCTAAGCAGTGGAAAATATTCTAAACTGAAAACAGTCATTTTCAGCTTTAAAAATTTGCTCAACAATAACAATACGCTTTAAAATTCATCATGTAATAGACATAGCCTAGAAAGCATACATTTAGTTGCATGATTGGCAACCATGTACCAAGTGTTCAAATTAACGTCCCATGTGTGTGTTCATCTGATGTGCTTTATTTTATCCATATAGTTCATGATTTTATATATTTGTTTACATGAATGCCATCCCTCGTTAGTAACATGTACTTGTATCATAAAAATGTGTTCCCTTTCATGATGTTGAGAGTAAGTCAGTTTCCATTTTCCTATCCAACTAAATTAAATGAATTATTATTTGTGTGTGACTGCGAGTGCAAGTGCATGCGTGCATGTGTTTATGTATGTGTGTATGTATGTATACATACATACATGCATGTATAGATATACATACATACATACATATATATATATATATATATATATATATATATATATATATATATATATATATATATATATATATATATATATATATATATACACAACACACACACACACACACACACACACACACACACACACACACACACACACACACACACACACACACACACACACACACACACACACACACACACACACACACACAACACACACACACACACACACACACATTCACACATACATATATACATAATATGTACATGCATACACACACACACACGTACGCACACGCACGCACACACACTCGCACGAGCGAACTTGCACACGTGTAAAAGGAAGTTGAAAATCTCACTCCTGTCTTTTATGTCATTCAATACAGGTTATAAAAATGGGGAAGTGTAGATGTTTATACTTAATCCTGCAGATTATATGTTATGTTTTTATATCTTCTTACAAGATTTTGAATGGAAGAATCATCTCATTTCTTATAAGATATATGAATACCAGAATTTTCATTTTGTGGCTAGTACAGAATGTAGCTTAAGTAGACGTTTGCCTGTAGTTTTTATTTAGTTTGCATTGTTTAACATTTTTGAAGAATACTTTTTACTTTTTTATATAGAAACCTTTTTCCAGCCTCGAGTTTTTTATGCACTTTTGAAAAATAATGGGAAATTCTTAAATTACACCATGTAATCTTGAGGTATGAATTTTTTATCTTAGTTTTTTTTCAAATCTCTGATTGATGGGTGTTATTGTTGAAGCTGATCACTCTCTTATTTCTGACAGAGCTGGCCCCTTGGTGATGATGAGCCTCCACCAGCAGTGCCAGCCAAAACAGCAGCAGCATATCAGTACTCCGATCCACCACCACCACCTCCCCACAACCACCCACCCAGCCCCCATCACCTACCTCTCAATCATACACATTCTCCTTACCTTCAGCCGCCGCCACCCAAACCTGTGCTTCAACAGCCTTCCTTGATACAGCAACACCAGCATCCACAGCAGGCATCAACTCAGCCTATGCAGATATCACCATACCAGTCACCTCCTGTGCCACAGTCTTCTAAGAAACCACAGAATCAAAATTCTGCACTAGAGCATCATCACAGACCACCTAAACCCTTGATAGAGACTGTTCAAGACCAGAAAAACTCTCCATTGTCTGATCAGAATAAACATACTGTGGCTGGGCAGAACAGGGCTGAGGATGTAGTAGTCAGTGAGAGCAGTTCTGAAAGCTCCGATGACGAGGGGATCTTTCACAAATTCTCTGCCCCAAATATCTTCAAGAAGTGGCGTTCCAATTCAAACAAGCAGGCGATTCCACAAGTACCTTCGTCTCCTAAAGCTACAAGCTCTCATTTCTACACTTCAAGAGAAATGAAGGAAGAAAAGGACATGGAAAAGGACAACATGAAAGGAGTAAAAGATCAAAAAGATAACACTGCAGTTTCGTCGCCAACCTCACCAAAACCCTTAGTGAAAGCATTTGAAAGATTAAAATTCAACCCCAAATCTGTAGCTGCCAATTTCAAGTCTTATTTGAGTCCACGTGGGGATAAGATTGAGGGTGATAGTGGAGGAGGTGCTGAGGGCCATCCAAATGAATCGCCAAGTGGCAATTTTGTGAACTCACCTGGCACTGGCACTAGGAACATCCAGAAGAGTGCCAGCTCTGGCCCCACCATCACTGCCTTCTCACAAGTGGTACAAGATTACAGTAAGTAAATGGTGTATATAGCATTCTGTATTGAATGATTAATCTTCTTATATTTAATATTTTGTATCTTTTTGACTGTAAAAATAAAAGATAAGTCACTAAACAGAATGAATACTAGTAAGTATTATATATATATATATATAATATATATTATATATTATATATTATATAATATATATATATATAATATATTATAATATATATATATATATAGCTAAATGTATACGTATCCATATAAATGACTATGGACTACACACCAAACACCAAGGATATAGAAGCATTTACAGAATTTTCTCTCCTTTCTCCAGTAATACCAAAACCCCATACCAAAGAGCCTGGTGGTATGCCAGCCAAATGAGAGGCTCCAAACCCCCAACCCCAGGTTAAGGTTCAAAACGTCCACGGCAACAATACTATATAATATGGATATACATGCCTACTATGTGCTAGCTCTAATACCTTACATATTAACTTATGAGAAGTAGCCAGAACAGATAATGAAAATTTATTATTTTATTATAAATTTTTTTGTTTTTTCATTGTCTTATATTTTTTAAATTTTGATTGATGAATACACCAAATTGAATCCTGTATTTACTGTAAGGGCTTTTAATTAACTTTGTTATATATACATACATACATAATATATATATATAATTATATTTTATAAGTAGATATATATATATATGTATTATATATATATATATATATAATATATATCTAATATATATATGGTTTCATTATAATTCATATATCTACTTATATACCAAATATGTTAAAATACAGCTTAAAATGCAAGAAGTATCCTTTACCCAGAGGATAATGATTTTATAAGTCTTTTACCTCTGTCAACTCTACTTTTCAATCTTGATGAGGATCATGTGAATCTTGCAGTAGAGTCCAGATCTATTCTATATTAGGTTTAATATTCTGAATTTCTATATCATACTTGTAATTAATGTATCATGCTTGTGATCAATCCTGCTTAAGCTGTAAATAGTGCAAAATCAGTGTTACTTTTTTTCTTTTTCTTTTTTTTTTTTTTTTTTTTTTCTTTTTGCTAATATTAAAGATAATTTTTTTTTCTCTCAGATTTTCTAGCCCTTCACACCTATCAGACATGGCATCCACAACCATCATGTTTTATTTAAGATGTTTAGTGCTCACCATTGTCACCTGAGTAATGATTATATTGCAATATTTTTGACCCCCCTCCAGTTTTTAATGGCTCTCACTCTGGTTACTTTATCTTACAGAGTTTTAATCTGTGAATACTGTACAGCAGAAGCCTGCTTTTAGAAATAATTTTTAGCTACATCTTAAAATAAGCAAAAAAAAAAAAAAAAAAAAAAAAAGAAAAAAGGTAAAAATGCATCTCAGTGGAGTTGGGTCATGTTAAAATCAAGCAAATTGAGTTCAGAAATGATGATTTACGCTTGGTTTAAACGTTTAAAAATGATAAAAATATTAGCCATACAACTTATAGAGCACTGCCCTGTATATAGCAACTTTGTTGATATATTTAATGAAATCTTAGTTATAAGTGTTTTTAATACTTGTATATTAATAGATGACATTTTGCATTTTCCCAGTCGTTATGATGAGCCTTAAAACTATTTCTGATGGACAATCACCTGTAAGTAATGATTAAATAGACCATGCTTAGTTTTTCATTGTGAATGTTTTATTAACCTAAATTCCTACACTTGTCGATGTCTTTCGTGTCATTATACATGTTCAACTAGCAAACATTATTTGATTGTAATGGCAATTGGATTTTATATGTTTAAAGATAGCTAAAATATAAATATGATGTTGATCCAAAATTTGTCTTTTTTTTCTTGAACTACATATGGGAACATGGTTTTCTCTCTACAGCTGATATTTTGAAAATTAACTGATGGTGATTTTGGACTTTTGGCATAGCCTTCAGTACTGAATTACAGGTATTTGTTTCTAGGTGTTTAAACTTTGCATTGAACACGTTACTACATCTAAAGGGGTTTTAGATAATTTATTTTATAATTAAGAAATCAGGTTAAATAATAATTGAGAACTATTCTCTGTAAAAGAAAAAAATGGATACAAATCTGACAAACTATCATTATGAACAGATTATGAACTATCCAAAAGAATATAAATATACAAGCTGTTTGACATATCTGCTCTGATTCCATATTATATTTTGAAAAAAAAGTAAAAAAAAAAAAGCTAAATAATCTTGTATCATCCTGTGCTT